GCCCGTGACTCTGCAGACCCGGCTGCTGGAGTCCTGCCGCCCGTGACTCTCGTTCTCCCTCTGTCTCCCCTGCGTAGGTAGCAGAAGCTCAGCGGGCCGAGTTCAGCCCGGCCCAGTTTGCAGGACCCAAGAAGATTAGCCTGAACCACCTGCTGAACTTCACCTTTGAGCCGCGGGGCCACAGCGGACAGGGTTCCGAGGGCCACAGCGGCTGGGGCCGCCGCAACAAGTGGGGCCACAAGCACAAGCCCTTCAACAAGGAGCTCTTCCTCCAGGCCAAGTGAGTGCAGCGGTCGGCTGTCAAGACCGGTGCAGCCACGTCGATCCGAGGCTGAAGTCGGGGATGGGCAGGGTTCAGGCAGAGCCTGGCATAATTCCAGCTTTACACAGTCACCCGTCTGCAGAATGCTGCTAACAGGCAAATCTCCGCCATTATCCTCTCTTCTCTGACCGGATTTTGACCCATGTCTGTTCCCAGCTGCCAGTTTGTGGTGATGGATGATCAGGACTACACTGCCCACTTCACCGACCCGGACACACTGGTCAACTGGGACTGTGTACAGCAGGTGGTGAGTATAGCCGTTGCAGTGTAGACACTGTGCTGGCCTGTGCTTAGAACTATAAACTAGCCAAGTCTAGGGAAACACAGAGCAAAGAACTATAGACCTGCGCAGTGCAGGAAAATGCAGAGCAAAGAACTATAGACCAGTGCAGTGCATGAAGGTTGTATAGCGCAAAGAACTATAGACCAGCAGGGAAGTGCAGTTCAGTGCACCACAGCAGAATGCTAGGCAGTGTAGTAAGGCTGACCTCTCTTCGTGTCGCCTCTGTGTTGTGTGCATCAACAGCGCATCTACAGCCACGAGGTGCCCTCATGCCCCATCTGCCTGTACCCGCCACTCGCCGCCCAGATAACGCGCTGCGGCCACATCTTCTGCTGGCCCTGCATTCTGCACTTCCTGTCCCTGAGTGAGCGCAGCTGGAGCAAGTGCCCCATCTGCTACGAGGCAGTGCACAGCCGGGATCTCAAGAGGTCAGTCGGCCAACGGGGGGTGCCGCCGCCAAGTTCAGAGCTGCGCCTCAGAGCTGGGGTGCACGGGTCCAGTTAAGAGTAATAAATCTCGTTGGTCAAGTCACAATTGGGGCAGTGAGGTGGCTCAGGATCTGTGCCTGTGGCTAGAAGGTTGCCGCTTTGTATCCTGCGGCCGGCAGAGGAATCCTACTCCGTTGGGCCCCTGAGCAAGGCCCTTAACCCCAGCTGCTCCAGGGGCGCTGTACAATGGCTGACCCTGCACTCTTACCCCAGGCTTCTCTCCTTGTCTGTGTGTCTCATGGAGAGCAAGTTGGGGTCTGCAAAAAGACAAATCTAATGCAAGAAATTGGCCACTAAAGGGATCTGAATTCAAGTAGTTAGGAGGTTAGTCTGGATTGCCAGGAGACTCACACAGGATACAAGCAAGCTGGCGGCTCCAGAGTTCAAGTAGGGAGCTGTCAGCATGAATAGGCTGCAAGGAACAGGTAAAGGTTTATTTCATACTGAAAGGAAAAGAAAAGAGATTCAATGTTATGGCGGTGGAGCCTCTGCAGGCTTTCTTCTCTACACTGTCTTTTATTTTCCTTTCAGCATGGAATATGCCTTTACCTGTGCCTTGTCTCCAAAGTTTTAGTCTTCTCCTTCAGCTTGGTGTTAACCTCTGTCTGCTAACTGGTGCTGCTGACGGCACGCAGTACAGGGATGGGCTACAGTGTGACATGCCTGTCTCTGCAGCGTGGTTGCCATGGAGACACGCCAGTACCTGGTGGGCGACACCATCACCATGCAGCTGATGCGCCGGGAGAAGGGGGTTCTGGTGGCACTGCCCAGCTCACAGTGGGTCAAGGTGGAGGAGCCGATCCGGCTTGGGGGTGAGTGTGGAAGGACTCCTACGCCTGACATCTTAATCTTGGGGTGACAGGGTCACAGTCTGATTGGGCTGTCAAACCAACAGCTCAGGATCTTACACTGGTGATGAATTAGAAGCCCACAAAACCTAAATCTGAATTTTCCTCTTTGTAATCTGTGAAAAAATGTGCATGTGATAAGACCCTAGGTGGCTTGGAGTGCTGAGCAGGAGGAGTCTGATTGTGTTGCCTTTGTGTCCGCAGACCAGAGTTTCAGCCTGTACTCCAAGTTGCTGTTGGCCTCTCACGAGCAGGTTCTGCAGCAGGTGGTGTGGGAGGAGAGGACTGCCCTGGAGAAACAGCTGCAGGAAGAGCAGGACCGTGCTGAGGCCTGCTTCATACAGGCAGCCTTACAGGAGCTGCAGGTACCCCTTCTGTCCCTCAGGCAGCCCTACACGAGCTGCAGGTACCCTGTCGGTCCCTCAGGCTGCTTCATACAGGCTGCAGTTACCCCGTCTGTCCCTCTCTCTGTCCCTCAGGCTGCTTCATATAGGCAGCCCTACACGAGCTGCAGGTACCATCTCTGTCTCTAAGGCTGCTTCATACAGGCAGCTCTGCTCTGTCCTCATGTCACGGTCTCACTGCTCTGCACAGGCTGAAGACACTATCTGTGTCCCATTGTCACAGTGTCTTTCTGTTGCCATCACTATAGGAGAGGGAGGCAGTGTTAATGAAGGCAGCCCCAGAAGATGGGGTCAGCGCTGAGCTCAGTCTGTCTGCCCTGACCCTGAATGAGCCTCCTTCATCCCCTGTGCTGGAGTCCCATTCCTCCACAAGCAGCAGCAAGGTACTGACATCTCTAGTGTCTGTGTGTTGTTGATGATTGTGCATTAACATAATATATTATGTTGCTGTATACCATAAGCACCTTCTCCCTCTCTCCCTCCCTGTCAGCCCATACTGCAGTATTCCTCTGCCTTCGATGACGAGGTTGTTGACCTCCCTGACTCTGTGTGTGAGGAGCCTCCCCAGGTCCCCTCAGAGGCCCCTCTGGTCTTGGAACCCGAACCAGAGCTGAAGTCAGTGCCAGAACTGAAAGCAGAACCAGACCTGAAACAGGAACCCTCTGTGCCAGAATCACCCAGTAAACAGGAGGCCGTGCCCGAAACTACAGGAAACAGACCCTACTACTACTTCTACCAGGGTAGGGATGGCCACTGTGTCTGGTGTCTGTGTCTGTTGTAAGAACTGGAGTGTGACAGCGCTCTGTCCACCTGACTGACCTCCTGTCCATCTGTCCCCACAGCGGAGGACGGCCAGCAGATGTTCCTGCACCCGGTGAACGTGCGCTGCCTCGTGAGAGAGTACGGCAGCCTGGAGTGCAGCCCCTCTACCATCACTGCATCCGTGGTGGAGATTGACGGGCACACCGTCAGTGAGGTGAGGCAGGGAGACACACGGGGAGCACACCGTCGGCGAGGTGAGGCAGGGAGACACACGGGGGGCACACCGTCGGTGAGGTGAGGCAGGGAGACACACGGGGGGCACACCGTCGGCGAGGTGAGGTAGGGAGACACACGGGGGGCACACCGTCGGCGAGG